TGGATTTAGCAGATGATATATGTGAAATGTCACACAAACTCGAAGACTTGCAGGCGAAAACCAACAAACTGACTGAAGCGGCAGCCAGCGAAGACAGCAATGCATAGGGAAGGTGGAGACGGAGGTGATGAAGATGACCAAAGAACAGCAACATCAACAACAACCAACAGCAGTCACCATCAATAGGAGACATTTGAAAGAGGTTACCTCCTTCACTTATCTAAGAAGCATCGTTTGACCACAGGCCGTCATAACGGATGAATATGTCAAAGCTGGCGAGAATCGTAAAAGCGAGATGCGCACGCCTTCATTAACCTGGAACCAGTTTGGAAATCTTCTATACTCACTCAGCATAAAGGAGAAGATTCGGATGTCCAACACCAGTTTGAAGTCGGTTTTTCTATAAGGGACAGAAAACTGGTGGGTAACGAAAAGGATTTCCAACAGACTGCCGTGGAATTTTATCAACAGCTGCCATCTTTGGTGGCCAACCAGAAAGAATTAGCAAGAAGAAACTCTGCCTGGGAACAAACCAATGTAGAGCTGATTGTTCAACAAATATGTAGGATAATATGGAGATGCATCGGGCACACGATGAGGAGATCGTCGAATAACATCGCGCGCAATGCAGGCCATCTCTCGAGTGCAATCTGAATGAAAAGTGACGAATGGGTCGTCAATGCGAGGTTTACATGGAGGAGATGAGAGATTATGGTCAATCGTGGACACAGCTCAAGAGGACGGCAGAAAACAGAAAAAAGTGGAAATGTGTTGTTGAAGCTTTATGTTCCACTTGGAACCCAAGGGAAAAATAATAATAATAATGGTACTAACTTTTATAACTCCATATTCTTTCATTAACTTGGATTTTTATTCTGATATTTCGTATTGTTATCGAGCTCTGTATTAAGTCCTCTACATGAGCATGCATATTTCTTTTGGTGTTGGGTATCAACAATTAAAAAATATTGAGTCCAGCGTCGCTTTTCATCGATGTCAAACATTCTCAGTAGGTAAAACCATACAATAAACTATATCAATCATAAGATGATGATGATAAATTTCAATAAATTTCTAAACATAGAAGGTTTTTTAAACTCAAGATAATGTTATTGACAAATAAATAAAATGCAATCATTGTTCTAATGTATGTACCCTGGATATTTATGCTGTTAAATATTTTTGTGTAAACAAAATTCTCATCTACAACTACTCTATTATTACAGTTATATTTATAACAATTGAGCGTATGTTTATAGTAAGTTGTAGAAGAGAAATGTAAAATAATAAACGCATAGAAAAGTTGCTCGTTTGAGAACTAACCAACCAGCAAAAAAACAAGCACCAATCACTATGACTGGGAGGAATTTGAATGAGGTTACTTCTTTGACTTATCTGAGCAGGCAGTGCTGTTTCAACTACAGGCGACAGTAATTCCATATTAGTTTGTTTATTAGATGTATCACGCAGTCAGTGAAACAGTATTATCTACTGGATGACGTTTCGAACAAAATTTATTCTTCATAATCATATCAATTATAATCACACGACTTTGAAACTTGAGTTTTATAGTTTCCTTTGTTCTCTTCTATTTAGCGTCTTTGGGGTAGTAGAATTTTCCAGATGTCCGGCTGGACAGGTGTTGAATCATTCCTGTTACACGTATTCTACCTCAGTTGATTCGATAAACAAAGCTTCTGTTATCAATCTCTCCCTCCAACCTGTGACATTAGATTTCAAAACTGTCATCTTATCCCATACATCATATTGTATGGTTGTGTGTGGTTGCATGTGGTGTAGTGCTATAGCTGAACTATTCTCTAGATTTCCTATCTTATTAGGTTCAAATCCTGTAACCGACAAAGTTTGTTTCTAATTAAGTTTGTGGTTGGTCTGAATGCCACTTTTATTCCTGCCTTGTTAAGAATTCTGCGTAAGGTTTCCGAGGTTCCTTCTTTGTATGGAATTACTACTGATGATTTAGATTCCTTATTGTTGGTGTCGCCATCAATATTATTACTATTATTATTATTACTGTTATCATTATTATCACTATCGCTACTATCATTATTTATTTTACTTTTACATTTCCTTACATATTCCCTGACTAATTTATCCGAGTAATTATTAAGTTTCAAGGCTTCTTTTATGTGTATCAGTTCCTGCCTTAGGTTTTCCTTGGTGCTACTTGTTTTTTTGCTCTGTCACTTTAACATTTTACCAGTCCTATTTTTACTGATGCAGGATGGGATGATCGGAAGTTTAAATATCGTTTTGCCTGTGTGGGTTTCCTGTAAACACTAGTGTTTAACTTCCCATCTTCTTCCCCTTTACGTTGCAATCTAACATTGGAAGCTCCCCTTCCTGACTTTCTAATTCATAAGTGAATTGAATTGCCTTTACCTTCGAGTTGATGTGTTCGAAAAATCTATCTATATGCTGTGTTCTAAGTACAGTGAATGTGTCATCTACATACATCTACCATACTTTTAGGGTGGGGGTGAACGTTTCAATCGCTATGTTTTCCCACCTATCCATGAATATATCTGCAGATATTAATACAGGCGACAGTATACGTGAGGATGTAAAAGCCACAATCGGAAAGGAAAGGCACACTTTCATCACTCTGATATCAGTCTGGGAAACTTCTGCCCTCACCATAAAAAACAAATTAGGATTTTCAACACAAATATTAAGTCAATTCTTCAATATGGATCAGGATTACAAGTTAATATGTGCAAAGTCTGTGAATAAACGTTAATATAAAGGACAATGATACTTCTGATAGTATTTCTCCAGTCCTCTGCCGACCAGCAGACGATTAGGCAATGGTCACCATTGTAGTCTTCCGCCAAATGGAGGTGAGTTCGAATAAACAAACGACTCAGTGTTCACCAACACTGAGTAGGTGATAATTGGATATTCAAGGAACAAGAGCTTGGCATCTGTGTATTATGGTATGATTGTATATCTCTGTACTCTCTTCATATCATTATCGTCAATCATTATATCTTTGAAAAGTCGTATTGGTTATATTCTCGCTTCTCTTGTCGGGGCAGTGTTAAGAGCAGCCTCACCGCCAGGTTAGGTGTAGCCAAAGCTCAAGTATGGCAAGATAGATGACCATAAAACAATCGTAAGCGTTATTTCTAGTTCAAGCCAAACCGGAAGCGACCTCGTATCTGTGGTAGCAGACTAACTAACTTGCTTCATATAACAACACCTTAATCGATTAGAAATGTGACTTCATTTCACTTATAGTTGATGAAACAACTACACACACACACTCACACACAACATCAACTGTTTTTCCTTTCGAAGAATCTTGACTGCCGGTGGTCTGCTTAAAACCTGAACTACTCAAAAACTTCCATCACCATATTGCACATAATTACTTTTGTTCAATTTGATTAAATTTAGTACAGTATGACCTCTGGTGAGTATTTAAGAAATTTACAACCTGCTGATTTGTAACTTCCTATTAAATATGAGAAAAAGCGTCATCCTCAACGTCAGCTTATCCCAATTCATGAGATGATCATTCCTGAGTGAGTGGTGTCCCTCAGTCACAAGGTGTACTCCTGAACTTTTGATATTTGGCATTCAACAAAATGTCCTGCATTTCTTCAAGGAGAACTGTGTCACAGGATTTATTGTCAATTAATGTTAGTATCTGAAGATTTTGAATGAAGAGCAAGTATCATGCAGTAAACTCCGCTGAAAATTCTGTGCATTACATAAAAACGGTTTCAGAATAAAACTGTTATCATTATTATTTGCAAGATGAAATGATATCACCATTCTATTTCACGGGTTCTCATCAGCTGTTTTAGACTATCTCATATTATAATGGTTATAAAAAATACATGGAAATGACATATTTCAATTTTTGAACAGCAGTAAAGAAAACTTTACAAAATACATGAATGCATCCGAAATATAAGCATTACAATTGACTTTAGTTTAAGTTACCATCAATTTATATGCTTTGAAAGTAGAAAACGGGGTGGAGTGAGGGTTTAGGAGAAGGCAGAAAACAGAGAATTCTAATAAACGGCGTTAGATTGTAGTTTCACACAGAAACTCAAGAAGGTTATATTTGATAAATTGGAAACTTGCTCATTGAGTTAAAAACACTGATATGGATGACTAATCAATGCAATCACAAAATGCAGTTACCAAGGGAGTGAGAGATTGACTACACTCTCTTTTAGAGCATATCTCAAGAAGCTTATGTCTACAAGGAAGCAGATATTTGCAAATTGCAATTACTAGACACATCTTGTGGATACGGGTCATTTCTTCTAGACTTTAAAATCCTTCAAAATACTTAATTTACAAAGTGTAACTAATCTCTCGCTCCTTTGGTAACTGCATTTTGTGATTGCATTGATTAGTCATCCATATCAGTGTTTTTAACTCAATGAGCAAGTTTCCAATTTATCAAATATAACCTTCTTGAGTTTCTGTGTGAAACTACAACCTAAGGCCGTTTATTAGATTTCTATGTTTTCTGCCTTCTCCTAAACCCTCACCCCACCCCATTTTCTACTTTCAAAGCATATAAATTGATGGTAACTTAAACTAAAGCCAGTTATAATGCGTTAATTTTATAATACTTTCTCTACTACTGTCATTCAAACATTGAAATAATTTTACTGGCATTATTTATATCCATTGTAATTTTAGGTAGTCTACAGCAGCTGATGAGAACCTGTGAAATAGAATGATGATATCATTTCAGACTGCAAATCTGGTCTTTCTTCCTATCTTACTTTATTGAAACTTATCAGGAGAACCCAATCTATGAAATTATTATTATTATTATTGCTAGTATTATTATTATTATTACATTTTTCGATGCTCATGTGTGTTTGTGTTGATCGAATTACTGACCAATCAGACTAAACTTTATCTCACACGAAGCGATCATTGGTCCACACAACAGTGGCTTTATTGAATAAATATAAGTGGCAAGGTCATTTGACTCATCATTCTAACAACTAGCCAATAGGAAGAAGGAAGAATTCGCTTCAACAGGGATAAGATCTATTAACTCAAAATTACAGGTTAAAATTTTATTTTATAGTCACACCCAGTGTAGATATGTAAATTACACTATTAAAACAAGGCGTGTCACAATTTAGTGTACTTTGTTTAACTATAAGGCCAATTACAACACTTATTAAAACAAACCAATCTCTGGGACTGACTGACTGACTGCTTGCTGTATATAATATTAATCCACACACACAGACACACAAATACACACTGTGAGGAAGAATAAATAATCTATGAAATTCATTCTCCAATTTTGATTTGACCAGCACAATATATTTGCTTTTTTCATGTGATCCTTTGTGGGGAGATTAATACTATTTTATGAGCACATAATAATAATTATTATTATTACCTACTATTACTATCTCAGATATATTACTACTGTATAAGCAAGTGAGTCGCTTTTTGAATGATATAGTTTATTTGTTTACATACTGTGTCATAGAATAATGATGAACTATTAAATTATTATTGTTATTATTACTATTGTTTTCTTGGGTCCTGACAGGATCAGAGGACTTTAACGGTACATCTTCACTTTGCTCTATTCTCTGCAGTCCTCTTCGACTGGTCCCTAGATTTGCCTGTAGTCCTTCATCTCCTCCTCTTCCTCCTTATACGATCTCACCCATGTCACCCTTGGACGACTCACTCATCGTTTCCCGTACAGGTTCCACTCGAGCTATAACCTGCATTGAGTGCGATATCAACCAACGTTCTCCTAGGTGTGTGTTTGACCAATCTTCATTTTCTCATACATATTTGTAGAGCTAAGGTTCTTAGCTTGTTTGTTTGTTCCCTTAAATGCTTGTTGTTCAATATGGAGTCAGCGAAGTTGGCAGCTGTTGATGGAAGTCTGCACCTGACTGTTGGAAAAGCATTCCTTGACGCATGTGTCAAGTTTCTGATCCATATTGAAGAATTGACCGATTTAACATCGATGTTGAAAATCCGAATTTTGTTTTTTTGTTTATGCTACCACCGAGTGTAGAATATTTCCAAACTGATATCAGATTGATGAAGGTGTGTCTTGCCTTTCCGATTCTGGCTTCCGTATCATCACCATCATCTATGCTGTGGCCTGTAGTTGGATCATCAGTAATATCGGACATGATAGAATGAAACCTCATCGGACTTTCCCTTCGATCGATTCGACCGAAGGGCTCAGTCTCAAGTTAACATATCGGCTCCTTGTACAGATGATTCAATGATGTCTGAAGTTATTTGGTGGTTGGTGACTGTCATTGGAATCCAGGATAAAGTGCATTTCGTCCTATTTAGGGCAGAGGCCTAGCAATTCGGTCCAATCAATAAACGGAAAAGTCCAAACTGAATTCAATAACAACTGGTACCCATTGCACGAAGTGTGGGTGACTCACGTGGTTTAAATGGTGTAGTGGATAACGCTTTGGTTACCGTCCACTAATTTACTTCAAATTAAATATACAGATTCATATTCAAATTTATCCACAGAGAAATTCATATGAGAAGATAACGCGATGTCAGATAACAGGAGATTCAAAAATAATAAACAAATTGTGCTCATAAGACACATACATATATCGATTACAAAGAAAATTCAAGTTAATTAAAAGGGTCCGGATTCATTGAAAGAGTTGCATAAGTAAGCGATGGATAATTTCATAATCAACAGCTGTAGTCGCAATAACATTAGTGAAAGAGAATGGTCACACATTGCATTATTAAGGTGAGCGTAGAACTTGGGCACTGTGGTAGATTATAATTCCATATTAGATAAGTTTGTTTGAAATGGCACACAATGATTTTGCAGCATTAACAACTGGATGAAAACATTTTGAGCATTAACTATCCCTGCTCATAATAATATGAATTTAGTCACGTGGCTTCACAATTTGTCTTATATATGCATATATCCCTCTCTCTCCATCTTCCCCTTGTTGTTTGTCTCCAGTGTAGGCGTTGTATCGTTTCGACTGCAAATGTGCTGTGTTGATAAACAGAGATTCAGTGATTAACATCTCTCTCTTTCTCTACACCTAACTATATTACTTTTTATAACTGTCACCCTGTCCCAGCTTATTGTGTGATTACATGCAAGGGAATGCATTGCAGTGGCTGGGCTTTTTCTAGGTTATTTAAAGTAACAGGGTCAATCATTGGAGGTCTAGCTAAAATTTTCTGTTCCAATAATCTAATTGACCTCGATCTACTAGTTTGACTGACTTATGTAATTGATCTCACTAACAGGCAGCATTATATGGTATTTGGTAAATTATATTATTCTTTTTAATTGCATCTATTCGATCCTTAAGACGACAAAGTTTATCTTTGAGGGAGTTATTTGGTTGATTGGTTGGTTTAAATGTCACTGTAATTCCAGCCTGATTGAAAATCCTACATATGGCCTTAAACATTCCTTCTTTATACAGTAGTATTACGGAGGCTAGAAAGCTAATAAATTATGAAGTCATGTATCTTTAAACGGCCTTTCTCTCAGTTACAATTGTGAAAACGATTACGATAAATCAAATAAACTGGAATCTCATAGATGCATGTACTTCTGGAGACTCTGTAAAATAAATCAAAGGAATTATACGACATATCCTTTCCTTCTACACATAAGATATTTCATGTACCAAAAAATGTATCGAATATACAAAAGGTTTATCTCATGGCTCAGTAACCAAGTGTATAATTCTCCGCTAATTTGAAATGATTAGTAGTAGGTTAGTGGAAGTACCATCAATCGCTAGGGATACAGGTATATACAGATGAGAGGTGGGTGACAAATATGAAGAAACTTGGACCGCGGATTCCGCTGTTACCTATCACCACCATTCAAGTAATACCAATGAACAGCAGTTATTAATGTGCCACCATTTGTTGTCATGTATATAACATGACGTATAAATTGTCATGTATGACGTGTTATGCTGAAATTAGTGAAGTCAGCTGGCATTGATTTTTTCCTGAGTTTCCAGCTTCCACTACTTTATACAATGGAGTGCATAAGAGTAATTTATGGGTTGCTACATATTTTCGAATTTCTGATAATAAACAGCATATAGAAGCGAAACAATCAGATTTGAAAAATAAATTCATATCTTAGTGCTAAGATTTGTTGAGTACTTCTCGAAAATTTGTTGACCAAAGAATCCTGGAGTTACTCAACACACAACATAATTTCGATGTTTGTAATTAGTGTAACGTGTCTAGTCCACCTATACACTCATCGTTGCCTAGATTATTATAAACACTTGAATGAATTTATTTTGGTGACTTCAATTGTTATCCACTAATTTACATCCTTGAACTCTGATCCTATACACTTTATTAACAACTGAGGTCTGAAGTTCCAGGTTGCTAAGATAAGAACTCGTCAGCTTAGTCAAAGGATTCACTTGTTTCAAGTTTTACCATAGAATCATATCAGTTAGAGAACCACTGAAAACGACCACAGAGTACCGAACAGCTGTTTCGTCCTAGTTTGGACTCGTCGATAGCACGCATCCACCAGCCTAGGATTCTTAACCAGAACCTTCCAGTTAAAAAGACAAGCTCGTAAACCATTTAGCCATTGGGACTGGACTCAATGGCAGCCCGTGAATTCTAACTTCCACGAGTTCGTGATTTCAGTGTTACTGGCACCAGCTAATTTCATCAATGGCGAGTATTTGTCTTCACTCCCAACCTGTTGGTAGACCCCACTTTTGTTGACTTCTTATTAGGAAGAGCTCCAGTGAGATAACTTATCTGAAAAGCAAGTTTATAATGGTTGTATGTCATCGGACAGATAGATAACAGAAATTCATCACTATCGATTTTTGATAATATTCACATTCATGTTGTTGGTTGCTAGAGGCGTTTCTAATCGAATCTGTTCAATTCAGAAAATATGGAATTTAGTAAAAGTATCCCTAGTGGATTAGGAACTTTGCCTAGATCTTATCTGAAACGTGTTGAAAATTATAGATTAAAAAAAGCAACAAATGTAGTTAATAAACCAGTATTTAATGAATTCATCAAATTTCGGTTGAAATACTCTTCAACTGGAGACACTCTCTACATGCAGAGATATAACATGCATTAAGCAACCCGTGAATTATTACTATGCATTCCGTAGTTTAAAGTAATGCAAGCTGGAAACTCAGGAAAAAATCAATACCAGCTGACTTCATTAAATTCAGCATAACACGTCATACATGACAATTTATACGTCATGTTATATACATGACAACAAATGGTGGCAACTTAATAACTGCTAATCATTGGTATTACCTGGATGGTGATGATAGGTAGCAGTGGAATCCATGATCCGAGTTTCCTTATGTTTCCCACCCATCTTTTAGCTGCATATACCTGAATCCCCAATGAGTGACTGAGTTCCCACTAACCCAGTACTAATCATTTCTAATTAGCCATTAGAGAAACCTTTTGTATATTCGATACATTTTTATATATGACATTTCTCATGTGTAGAAGGGAAGGATATGTCGTGTAATTCCTTTGGTTCATTTTACAGAGTCTGCAGAAGTACATGCATCTATGAGATTCAAGTTTACTTGATTTATCTAGGGAACGACCTTTCTATCTCACTCTTGTTTACTCTCCTGACAGAAAAAGCAATAGTTGGATTGGTCACTATCGATTTATTGATTGATTATTGATCAGGTTTTTCTTTAAAACTTTTCACAACAATAAGGCTAAAACAAATATTCACATTATCTTCTTAGAAGTACAAATACGTATAAGTAAATAACATTGGTAAACTTGATATCTTCTTATTTTAGTTTTCTGTGTTTAAATTTTAAACGTGACCATGACAACAGTGTATTATCAGTACTCGTTTATCTTTTGTTTTGATAAATATTCTTTATACATACGTCTTTATCAATATCTAATCACATAGTATGTACATGTATTTGTGTGTTTACTGCCATGATCATTGTAGGCATAAACAATCATCATATCTAGCTAGGTCAGTTCATACTCAACAAAGATGAAATCTCAATCATGGTCTCAGCGGTATGCCTAATCTCTTTTATTACTGTTCCCTTACCTTCCGAATGGAACATGCGCCTTCAACATGACATCTCCATTTCGTCCAATTCTCTGCGGTCCTCTTTATCGAGCTCTATGATTGCTCATAGTATCTCTTCTCCCCCTCCTCTCATGATATCCTACATGTTACTCTCTCACCAACGACTCACCCGTCATTTCCTATTCGGATTCCACACGATAGATGGCCTGCATTCAGCACAATGTTATTTGATGGTCTACTCAGCTTGTTTGTCCTATCCGTCGTCTATTTCTTCTACATATTTGTTGAGCCATAGGTTCTTGGTTGGTTCATTTCCAGAGCCTCTTGCTGCCACTTCTTTCTAGCCTCCCATTTGATCTTGAATACGCGACCAGAGGAGTTTGAAAGCTGTTGATAAAAGTCTGTGGCTGTCTGTTGGAAATGCATTTCGTGACGCATGGGGAAAGTTTCTGACCCATATGGAACTGATTGACTAACTTCACATTGGTGTTGAAAATCCGAATCTTGTTCTTTATGCTAAGTGAGTGCAGAAGATTTCCAAACTGATTTCAGACTGATGAAGGTTTATCCTGCCTTTCCGAACCGGACTGGCTTTGACATCATGATCCGCGCTGTCACCTGTGTAGTTGAAACTATTAAGGAAGTGACCTCTTTCATCAAATTTCTTCGGCTGATAGTGATTGGTGCTGGCTGATGTTGTTGTTGGTTGGTTGGTTATCTTCATCGCCTGCATTTTCTCTACGTTCATTAAAGTCCTGTCTTCTCTGACTGTTTCTTCAGCTAGTCTGTTGGTTTTAACATGCAGTTCTTCGTGTTTTTTTGACATTAAACATAAACTAATCTCTACCAGTCATTATTTCTTGCTACACACGTTCACTACTTACTTCAGTGTAATCGAAAACAGCTTATCTATGATCAATAAAATTCACTCGTGTTTTGAGTCTTTGCTAATGCTATTATAAAGCTGAGTTGAGTTAACTTTGATCATCGATTTCGCTTTGATGCGTGTTAAGGAGTTGAGTAGTAACAAAAATTGATTTTATGAGTTTAATAATGGAAGATGTTTCTTGTAGGCGCGCGGTTACCGCTGTCACACTGCTACAGGCATTAGAGATAAACAGGATTCTGCTTTTGACAGCGAATCTTATGCACTGAAAAAGCCTGAGTTGTCAATTTGCAATAATACTTTTTGATGCGTCTAACTGACAGAAGAACTTCAGCATTAAATAGACAGACAGACGGACGGAGTGAGGGAGATCCTGGAGGCTGAAATCCGTTATCGTTTCTTTAAGTTAGCTCACATCATTATTTCCTATAATCAGCAGGATAAGGACTGAAATATCGACCTAATTAACCTCACTTATGAACTTTTAAGAAGGTTATTCATCCGATAACCCTATCAGTCTACAACGGTAATGCCTTTTCTAGGATGAGTATAACTTCAGCGTTCGAAAAAGGTGAGAAATTCCTTTGGTGTTGTACATTTCAAAGTGAAGAACCAGGAACTGAATTCACCAGTCACTCATTCACCTAAATTTGTCTAATTATCAAATTCTTTTAGGGTCAGTTTTTAGTCTTCCAGATGAATCGTGTTGAGGGGGCACAGTTGTGACGTCTGATTACTTGAGTATTGACCAATGATTTTAGGCTTGAATCTCAATCGAAGTAATTCATCCTGAATGCCTCAATAGTGTCATGCACTGTTAAACATCACTCATCTGCATTGAGAGGTGGGGAGTGAACAGTTTCATATTGAAGTGTTGGTTTGCAGGGATTTGATTGGTTACAAGATTTCGTCATCAGCTGATATCGGTTAGGGAACCCTTGGGAAAAAACAGGGAGTGCTTGGACAGCTGTTTTGTTCCAGTTTGAGACTTTCCAGCAGTGCGCACCCTACACAATGGTTCGAACCCAGGATCTTCCCAGTGAATAGTCCAAAATAATAGGTATTTAGTTTGATAACTACCCGAATTGTACTCATTGCATGTATATGTTATGTGGAGGTAGAGTTGATAGGAGAGAGAAAGACAAGTAGGGACGAAAGTTTTGATTGAAACCTGGTCAAGCTGTATTCGTTCTCCTTATTTCGGGTCTTCTAAATTCATTTACAATACCTTATCACACCCAAAATACGCATGCAAATGTGCTCACTACTGTTTCCGGCTGCTTATTAAAGGAGATTTAACTATACAGAATAACCCTGATAGACAGACAGATTGACTGAACGTATCTTTGAATTTCGTAGACATTTGGTTCATTATTATTGTTACTGTAATAAAACTGTTAGGACTGTTGGTTGGTGTAGGGCGTGCTGCTTAGTCACTCAGGTATACAAGAGTATAAAGAAACTGGAATTCTAACACAATAATGCTGATTTTTTAAATAACCTAGCAACAAGTACGCATATACTGTTAGCCACCTTTGACATAATGAAACCAGTGGGTTTGAAATTGCTTTTAACTTTCATGAAAAATTTTGTTTCAGCACAAAGTATCACAAAAGTAGGACTTCCCTTACGACATTTTACTCAAGATTAGCAGATCCTGTAAGCAGTGAGTATGGCTCGATCAATCCAGTCATTATTATTATTATTAATGTTTCCTTTACTTCCTAGAGGAACATAGGGCTTCAGCCGTGCGTCTCCATTGCGTTCGGTTCTCTGCTAGAGTCTTCACCTGGCTCCAAGTCTGCCCACACGTTTTCATCTCCTCTTCAAATGACCTCCTCCAAGTCACCCTTGCACTGACGAACAACTCGCCGCTTCCCTTTCGGGTTCCACTCGAGCAATGGCTTGTCTAGTGATGTCACTTGATGGATTGTTTCCTCAGAGTGTGGCCAGTCCACCTCCATTTCTTCCTGCCTATTTCTTTCACAATCGGTTCCTTGTTGGTTCGCTCCCAGAGATTTCTGATGCTGATTTTCTCTGGATGGCCATCTGATCTTGAGTGGTATTGAGCGAAGACGACTGTTAATGAAGGTCTGTAGTTTGTTTGAGATGCTCTTTATGACGCGAAGTGCAAGTCTCTGATCCATCCGTATAGAAGCACTGACTGACTTCACATTGGAGTTGAAAATCCGGATCTTATCTTCGTTTTGATGCTGAGTGCTGTTGACCTCTACACAGACTTTAGAGTAGTGAAAGCTTGTCTTGCTTTTCCGATTCTTGCTTTGATGTCCTCATCAGTTCCAACTACCTGTAGTTGAAACGATGCTTCCCAGGTAGGTAAAGGAGGTTGTGTCTATCAGGTTCCTCCCATTTATGCTGAATGTTGTCTGTTGTTGTCATTAAATTGGATGGGATCCAGAGTTGAGCTTTATCTGTTTTAAATTTCCGCATATTTAACGCTTAATCACTATAGATCATTTGGTACTATTTTCCAGCATGATTAGATGTAGAGGTACCAGCGGACAGTCAGTTTGGATCGAAGGTGGTACTATTTATTGCTCATCTCCATAGCATAAGAGAAATCAGGAAACTTCATGGAGTGATTTACGGGATGGCGTAACTCCACTGTAATGTGATGAATATTCCGGTTTATAAAAATACGCAACAAGTATTTCCTTGATAATCATTAGAAGAACCACTCTAGGTTCCACAGTCTCTTGCAAAGTATAAGTGATGCTAAGGGGAATCAAGCTGGGGAAAAGCAATCACGCCCATCCAGTGGTGCATTGATCATATCTTCACCATTCGACAAGTTGTGGAAGGCGTACTTAATCGTAGACATCTAATATGAAGTGCGTCTCGTGCGCTTCCGAATCTCATAGAGAGCGCCAGCACTTAATTTCCGGTGGATGTAAAAACATCCGGATGACGAGCTTCAAATGGTACGAAACGCTTGATTCCACCACTAACCAAGAGAAATGTTGTAACAGTCTGTGTAATCAATAAAGCTTGCTGAGTCTACTAAATGGCTAATAATAAACAATGTTGAGACGAAGAAAAGACTTTAAATTAAGACGAGGATTTAATGTAGCAATGTTTTGCATATCTTTCTTGTTAGAAAATATGATGAACCTAACAGGGCTGTAGGATCAACAGGAACGAGGTATAATGGCTTCCATTTACATTGATCAATGTACATCTGTTTGTACTCTGCAAGACATCTATTTATCAAGAGGTTTGATATCGTACTGCTGAGAGCAGATCAAAGTGTTCACTACTAGATCCTCACTGGTTCACGCATGTAAATCTACCTAAAACAGTAATGACTACAAGCAATAATTATCTATTGATTTATCAACTTTAATTATTTTTCCATTATGGCGAAGATTTATTTTGATAAAGTCACACAGTGTTATACGGCAATATTTATTGATGACGTTTCTAATAGGTATTTAGGGTTGATTCATATCATCCGCTTTCTGTAAAGGCAGGAGTTTAGCTAAGTGTCCAACAAACCGAGCAGTAACACTAAGTAGTAAGTCAAAAAAACCTAAATGATGAATTGAAACAGATAGAAGAACAAGTGTTGATGTTAAATCACTAACTATCCTATAAAATTTATTAGGAAGATCTGAAAAAGTCAAAAGGAAAATATAAATAGTGGTGAAACTAGTAATGATTACATAACTATAAGAGAATATAAGGCATCTTCCGTTTTACCACATAAAGAGGGGACATCTGAGACCCTATGTAGGATTCTTAATAAAGCAGGGATTAGAGTGGCATTTAAACCTACAAACTCACTTAGTTAGAACAAGCTGTGTAGGTTAAAGAATCCTGTGAGTTGACCCCATTAAACAAAATAATATAATTTTGATTTGACACTAGTAACTAGTGTGATGCGTCTAGTCCTCTCTTTGGTGCAGACTGAATTCTATCAATCAGGTCCAAGGCTTCCTGCCGATTGCCTCCAACCATCTAATATTATCACAATTAATGTACACCGTGATGGCGAGCTACCTAGAATGGTGGCCACATCACAACCTGACTGATAGGATTCAGTCTGCACCAAAGAGAGGACTAGACGCATCACACTAGTTACTAGTGTCAAATCAAAATATCCACTACAGTCCTACAGGAGGTCAATCGCGGGTCCGAATAGCTCAGTGGTAAGGTCTCTGACTGCAGCACTGGGTGAGCTGAGTTCGAATCTCAGAAGGGACATGAGTTAATTGATGGTTGCAGATACGTCTTGTTGACGAGTGCCAACTAGCACGAAACCTAGGTGCAAGGCTTCCTACCGATTGCCTCCAACCATCTAAAATAATATAATTTACAAAATACCTTGCCATGGCTGTGAGTCACATAAATAAATAAAGTACATAGGTCAGTCACATCAGTAGATCAGGGATAGTCAGACTCTCAGAATATAAGAATTTAGCTAAAGTTAGAATGATTGACACTACAATGATAAACAATTTAGAAAACAACTCAGGATTCGCATTGCATGCATTAACATACAACCACACAATAGGGTGGGACAGAGTTACAATTCCAAAAATTAATATAGACAGATGGAGATAAAGGGAGGTTTATTACTGAATCTCCATTCATAGAATCTACACCCAAAATATGCAACGCGAATGATTCATCACCAATACAAGATAGATGGAAAATACCAGTTTCAATCGGATCAAGAGATGAGAAATAATGGAATTATATGGAGAAAGTCAGAAAGGTGTGTGAGTAGTGCCTTAATATGATTATGAGCAGCAATAAATTGTGCTCGAAACATTGTCATCAATACATATTACTGTACAACAACACTGTGAGGCTTTTTCAAAATAAATTTACGCTATAATTGAATTATACTCTACCACCACATTGCGCAGGTTCTATTTCTATTTTAATTATTTTTAATCTTTATGATCAATGATCAATGTTTGTGAATAGTTTCGTGATGGCTTGAAAAAAATCAAAAATGTTTGTTCATGGAAAACTCTAGCGGATTCCTTCGATTTAACAGTTATCTTTCTGTACTGATGAATAATTCTGGCAAAGTTGAATTAGGAGAAAAGGCGTTCAGCAAAGAGTTGCTCCTCTCTTCGGTTCCCTTAGGTTCAAATCGGAACCTAGGGCTTCAAGAACATATCTACACTTTGTTCTGTTTTTTCACCTGTCCAGTCACACGATTGACGATAATCTCTCATCTCCTCCACGTCACCCTCCCATTAACGACCCACTTGTCGCTTCCTATTGGAATTCCACTGGCGCGATGGCCTGCATTGCCGGTGATGTCATTCGATGGCCCTCTCAACGTATGTCCGATCCATCACCACTTTCTTCTACATATTTCTTGAGCAGTCGGCTCTTGGTTGGTTTTTTCCCAGACAGAGTTTTTTCCTGCTAATTCTTTCTGGCCTGCCAGTAACCTGATCTTCAATATGGAGCCAGAGAATTTGACCGCTGTTTATAAAAGTCTGTAACTTGTTGAAAATCCTTCTCGTGACACATAGTGTAAGTTTCTGGCCCTTATAGAACCAACTGACTGACTTCACATTTGTGTTGAAAATCCGAATCTTGCTCTTCATGCCGGGAAGGTGAAGAAGATTTCCAAACTGCTTTCGGGTTAATGAAGGCGTATCTTGGCTTTCCGATCCTGTCTGGCTTTGAAATCTTCATCCATTCCCATGGCCTGTAATTGGAACCATACTTCCTGGCCAGATAAGTGAAGGAAGTAACATCTGTCAAATCTCTCCCGTTGATGGTGATCGCTGCTGGTTGTTATTGCAGTTCATTGGTTATTTTAATCACCTCCACCTTCTCTATGTTCACCTGCAGTCCCGTCGTCGCCATCTTCCAGAAGCTTCACCTGCAAGACTTCGAGTTTGTGTGATACAAGATATATGTCATCTGTGAAATCTAGATCTTCTAGAATCTTCTCATCGGAAGTGCAGTGTATTCCTGACTCCTCGCTCCCAGCGCATATTCTTAAGCACAATCCAGTCCACCACAATTAGGAATGTCATCTGTGGTAATAGACAGCCCTGTCTTACTTCTGGGTTCACTTCGAAAACCTCTCTGAGTTTAACGTTGTGGATCACTTGACACTTGGCATTGTCATATAGCCAGCTTTCGACTGAGG